TATATATATATATATATATATATATATATATCTTTTAAAAGCAAATATCCAGAAAATACTCTGATAAGAATAGACCGCCCCCCACAAAATGGGTGATTTATGGTTTCATTGCATAAATTTCTCCTTATTATGTTATATCTTGGACAATAGTTAAAAGGGAGAGTGAAAGAGAATTCCCAAGTGTTACTATTTTATAAAATTTTCCTCAACCCCCTATGGCTAACTTAAGAGCTGTACAGAGGTCAGCTCCTTTAATTGTATAATTCTGTAGTATTTTAGCAAAATGAGTGGAAAGTTGAGGGCCAAGTATCACTTGCAACCACTAGGTGGCATGAGCCTACAGTGGATGATTACAAGTAAATTGAAAAAAATATAATCAATCTAACTGATTGACCAGAATACTGGGTGCAAACATATGTCCCCAGAGGTACCAGGAGAGAAGAATGTGCCGCCTACACAGTGAGAAAAGAAAAGCCCTATCTACGTCCGCTTTTAAAAGAGAAACATTCCATCCTTGCAGGCAGTAAATACTTGTTAAATCCTCACTTAACACAACTGCCAGGTAACCGTGCTAGGGATAAAAGAAACATGAAAATAGACACTAGGACTCTACCTTCACAAGACTTAACAGTCTAATTTGTGTTGGGAATTATTACAGAAAAAATTTTAAAAAGCAGTGCCTTGCCTTGTTCCCCTTGCTTTATTGGTTAAATGTCAAATGTTATGAAAATATGAAGAAAGGGCACTGAAACCAAAGAAAGAAGAGTGGAGAAAAACGCTCCACAAAGTCACATCAGAATAGAAGACAACACTGGAAAAGGCTTCAGGGTATAGTGTTTCTCAGATTAAATGGATTGTCAAAACTAGGGTCAAGCCAACACAAAGCTACTTAAGAAATATGGAGTGTACATAAGGGGAAAAGAGGAAAGAAGAAAATAATTTTTACTACTGCACATTAGATCACTTCCTTTTTTAATTTTTGTGTTTAGTTAGTACATGTTTGCAGTACATAATGATGACATTCCTCTTAGGCATAGGTGCAGGTACACAAAAGCATCTCGATTCTTTTTTCACCCTCTTCCTCTTCCTCTGTCGCCCTCCCTACACCTCTCTCCCTCCCCCATCCCCCAGTTCCATTTGTAACAAATTATAATTATTGCCTATTTAACACATTCAGTATATCTCTGAATTTTTCCCTGTACTTAGGATATATTCCTCTCTAGAAAATTACCAAATTGCTCAATATTTTTAATTTTATTACCATTGTTAATGACACAGAATATATCCATATGGTAGAATTTTAGTAATCATGAAAACTGTTTAAAGCAAGAGATCAGAAAATAGATTCTCTCAAGTGATGCAATTGTGCTCGGCCGGCGCTGAGACTCCCTTGTCTTCATTGCCTTTCCTTCCTCTCATTGTTAGTAACCAAGACCTTTGAGGTGCATCTCTTCAGCATTTTCTTCATTTTTTTCACCCTAGTAACAACTCCAAAATCTGCTGTTTAGGTCATTTTCATCACTAGATACATTTCAAAGGACTTTTGCATAGGTTTGTAAAACAAGAGAAAGCTTGACTTCATGAGCACATTGACACACACATGCACGTGTGTGCGAGCACACACACACACACACGTATGCATGCCATGACTATGAAAGCACACAACTAATGAACAGCAATATTGTACAATGGAGAAGAGTGCAAAAAGACTACAAAGCTGACTTAGAAATGTGCTTTTCCTGGTTCATTTTGGTAATCATTTTAAATACTATAAACATCATCGTAGTCTTTTCAGACTACTAGAACAAAAATCATACTGGGTGGCTTATACACAACAGAAAATTTACTGGATTTCTCACACTTTTGGGTGTTGGGAAATCAAAAACCAAGGTATCAGTAGACGTGGTGCCCTACTCTTTCTGCTTCACAGACAATATCTTCTCATTAGGTCCTTTTGTAGTAGAAGAAAGGACCCTCTTTCAGGCATCTCTCATAATTCCGCTGATTCCATTCATAAGAGTTGTGTCCTGATAAGTTATTATAGTCCCAAAGTCTCCATCCCTTAATACTATTATTTCAATATATGAATTTTGAGAGAACAGAATTATTCAGCATAAAACATGAACTGTTTAGTTAACATAAAATCAGTACACACTGTAAATAGAATATAGAAGTAATCTGGTGGAACATGAGCTTTTTCATATAAGCAAACACAGACCCAGAAAAATGAAACAAGTGTCCCCAAGGCCACATAGCAAACCAGAAGAGGTGCTGATATTAGAAGAGGATCTAGGGGGAATAAAAACCATTTCAGTAGGTGTCTGACACTGAACTCTCTAATAGCCCTGGGAAATTTTTAAAGATCAATAGTGCTGAGTAACATCAAGTAACTTAAAGTGCTTAAAGTTATACTCCTTGGAGTAGAAGCCAAGATTCATTTTTGAATTAATTTTATTGAGAAAGAAATAGTAATGAGACAGTTTCAAAACAGGTGAGTAGGACAGTTATAATAATACATTGCATATTGTTGTCTTCCTAGTAGTTATTCATAGTACATGATGCAGACATGATATCTTGTCAAAACACTATTGTACAAGTCTTTCTTCTCATTGAACTAAGAGAAAGTAGCTGTATATCCTATTTTGTATATACAGATATATTTTTTTTCACTACAAAATGGTCCTTCCTTTGTAACCCCCTTTTTTCTTTACTTTTGTCAGAGATGGATATTCCATTGCCATTCAAATATTGTAGATGCATGAATTCAGCAAAGTAATACAACATAGTTCAGCAGTCCATAATAGTAGCAGGTTATCTGTAGGACTGGCAATATCAGAAGTTGTTGACCTTAGCCTTTTACAGCTCATCATATTAATATGGCTTTACTTTTTATACCTCGTAGTTATACTTTTCTGCTGTATGGTTAAGACCCAGATAAAGCAAGACCTATACAACAAAAACTATAACTTTGGTATCTGACAAGTTCAGTCAAATCCCCTCAGGATTTACCCTGAAACCCTGTAGAGAAGAGTTTGGAGATCTTTTTTCAATGTCAGCCATGTGGATAAGTCACAGCCATTACTTGACCAATTTACTCTCTGTGGAAGCCTGAGAGAGTGTTTTCTCTCCAGATGACTCTCCTTAGGCCCACTCTTCATTGTTGATCACTTTCCTCTGTGGCCCAGTAATCTCCTTGATCAGAAAATTTGGGACACCACTGAGTTACTGGATGTTACACTACAGGAAAAAGCCAGGAATCAAACTTGATTCACCCTTCCACCTCCCTAATTTCTGGTCTCCTATGTTTTCTTCATTCGGAGTATATTACAGACCTATTAAAATACACATTGTTAAGTCACTCAGACTTAAGTTAAGTTACTTCCGGCCCTGGTCACCTGGATTCTACACTCTTCATTTATCCATTCTTGCTCTTCTGAATGTGCCCTTACTGATCTGACCATTCTAGAAACACAACTCTCCATCCATCTAAACTTCATTTTCTTCAAATAGAATGTTTCATATTTCACATCCTTCACTATCATTACTTCAGAAAAACAATATTTATCACCTATAATTTTCTTCTAAACCCATAAGTACTTGTGGCTCTCTTTGCATGGTACTGATTATCTCATAGATATATGAATCTGACCTCAATCACACTAGCTCCTCTTTCTGAGCAGTATATGACAGATCCATTAAAATGCACATCATCTACTCAAAGTAAGCAAAGAAATACACTTATATAGTATATTCATTCACAGGTTTAGACAAAATGATGCAAAGCAGTGGTCAGGTTTGCTGGACTAGCAATATCAGGGAGACATTTTGGCATCTTACCATGAAGAAGCCAGGCAGAGAGCAGTCACTGTAACCTCAGAAGAAGTGAGACATTCAGGGACTGCCCCTGGGGTCCAGCTAGCAGGAAGCCTGGAAGCAAATATCATATCATTCTCCTCCTGCACAATCCTTTCCTTTGTGGAGGGAGCCACTGCCCTGACCCAAAAATAAAATCCATTCCTATTAGGGAATTTCTTCCCAAACGCAGACATGGAGTAGGTACTCAGACAGAAAGCTGATCTGAGAAAAATTTTTTAAATGCCCCACGTAGTCTTTGCTCCATACAGCTCCACACACAGTGCGACTTTGCCCTGCTCGTGGGCTGCTATGTGGGGCTGACCTGATTACTGACTAACAGCACAGAGTTCTACAGTTCCCAGGAATCCTCCAGATTCTGGACTGATCCTTCCAAGCTGAAATGCTCACTCTGCCTTTAAAAGCCTAATTTGAAAACAAGAAAACAAATATGTGTAAAATAACATCTAAATTCTGCCCTTTGGAGCCTCGACATTTTCTGTAAGTTCTTACAGCCAGAGCTGTTGCCAAATCCCTGACATCCCGAGTAGTCTCTGAGCTCCACACCACTGCTTCAGGGAGTATGAGGCTTGGAGCTCTTTGGGTCCTAACACATTTCTCCTACACTTTGCAAAATGCTTTAAGAATTTCTCTGGTCATTTAGCCAAGACCATCTCAGCAAAATCCTATACCTCCTACCTTCTTGCAAAAATGTGCTGTTTAAAATTAGTCCTTGAAAAGTTGCATAAAATTTCTATAGACAGACCAGATTTCAACAGCCTCATCCAACACACAGTGGAATGAAGTGTTTTAGGGCTGAAGGGAAGAAGAAAGTGAGCCATAATGAAAAGCAACCAGTGTTAGAAATAAAATCTTGTTCTGGTCATTGCTCTGCTGAAGTGGAGACCTGAAGGCAGAGCTACAGCCTGTATCTAACAAGGAGACACAGATTTAGATGAATTCCAGGGTACAATAAATTGTGACTACTCTGTAGCTTTAAGAATCTCTTTAAGTTAAGGAACCCCCAAAAATAAGACAGATAAAGCCATTTGAAAATGACTTAAAATTTATTCCACATAACTCATGGAGGGTGAATCATGAAGGCAAATGAAAAATGTTTCTTTCCCAAGAAACATTCCCAGTTGCCCCTTAGGAGAAAAAACTTTTGCTCAAGGACTTTTTCAGAGCAATTTTGACATCTTTATTCCTCAGGCTATAGATTAAGGGGTTCAGCATAGGCACCACAGTGGTGTAGAACAGAGAGGACACTTTCCCCTGATTCATAGGTAAAAGAGAAGATGGTTTGAGATACATGAATGCTCCTGAACCAAAAAACAGAGAAACAGCAATTATGTGGGAGCTGCAGGTGCTGAAAGCTTTGGACCTGCCCTCAGTGGAGTGAATGCTGAGGATGCTGGAGAGGATTAGGGCATAAGAAATAAAAATGGTGACCGTGGGCACACCAATGTCAATGCCCACAACAATAAAAACCACTAGCTCATTCACGTAGGTGCTGGTGCAAGAGCGCTCAAGAAGAGGAAGGATGTCACACATGTAGTGGTTGACAAGGTTGTCCGTGCAGAACCTCAGTCTCACCATGCACGCTGTGTGGGCCATGGCCCCAGCAAAACCCATCCCATAGACACCCAACAGGAGGAGTGAACACACCCGAGGAGACATGGTGACTGTGTACATCAGTGGGTTACAGATGGCAACATAGCGGTCATAGGCCATTGCTGAAAGGATGAAGGACTCAGAAACGACAAAGAACAGAAAGAAAAAGAGCTGAGTCATACACCCAGGGTAGGAGATAACATTTTTCTTTGAGATAAAGCTCATCAGCATTTTGGGGGTGATAACAGTGGAATAGCAGAAATCTATGAGAGATAAGTTAAAGAGAAAGAAGTACATGGGCGTGTGCAGGTGCGAATTCAGTCCAATCAGTGTTAACAAACCCAAGTTCCCCACCGCAGTGACCACGTAGGAACCTAGAAACAGGAAGAAGAGAGGCATCTGGAGTCCAGGATGGTCTGTTAAGCCTGCAAGGATGAACTCTGTCACGGAGGAGGAGTTCTCAGCCACCATCCTCAACTAAAGGCATTCTGCAGGGACAAGGAAGAGGTGCATTAGGAAAGGGAGAAGGGGGAGGGAGAAGGATGTGAGGGAAGGACAGAGGGAGTGAGATGGACAGAGGGGGGAGAGGGACAGAGGGAGGGGGCATTCCAATCCATGATGCTTTCACAATCACCTCCCCCATTCTTGAGAACTGGATGTATCGAGGTTTGGAACCTCCGCAGAGGGCCCTTTCTGGTGCTTGCTTGGGCACCTGGTCTCATGTTCCCCAGTGTCTCTGCCCCTGGAAGATTCAGTTGTCCCCACTTACAGGTAGGGACTACTGGGAAAAAGGATCTCAAGAAGACATTAAAGAGACGCTCTAATTTTACTGTGTTCTTCTAACTATAATTTTGGCAAAAGTTTATCAAAAGGGGCCAATTTCCTGGAAGAGTTCCTCCCTAGTTTCAGCCAACCTAACTGTACTGGGAGTATCCACCTCATGGTCATCCTGGACAGAGCAGAAGGGTGAGGTGGCTTTTAGCAGAGCTTTCCTACCTGAGATGAGGACCTTTGAGGAGTTCAAGCCATTCACCCAGATGCAGCTATTACCTGCCTTCAGATCAGAGTTTCGGTGATGTTCCATTTAATCCACTCTTATCTTTAGCTGTTCAGAAAGATGAATGACTGCAGTGCATGTTAGATGAAGGACTATGTACACACCCTCCACTCTCTCCCTAAGTTGGAGATCAGAGCCTCTGAGTTGCCTTGGGAGGTTTCCTAAGCTAGAGAACAGGATACATGATATAAGCTTTGCCCTAAGGCTCTTCTTAACTTGCAAAGAGACAGTAATTTTATTCTGGATATGGAGACCTGGGGACCTAATTAGATGCAGAAAGCCAAAAATTCATCTGGGATCATAGATTTATGTATTACTTTTTTTAAAAAAGGAATTCTGACCTATACCTTTGTTAATATTTGGTGGACTTCAAAAAATACAAAAACATTCAATTAACATGTATTGGTAAGATACGAAGTCCTGTGTAAAAATAATTTATCAGTATTTGAGTACATAATGCATACCAAACACTGTATCTTGCCTACCAATATATAGTGATTCAATATGCCAGGTCAAAGTACTGTTTTTAATGCATTGCTTTATGTTAATCCCTCTTCTCATCCTAGAGGCAGGGTTTCATTATCCCCATTTTTTTTTTTATCTTTTAGGGAAGGGCCTACAGGTGTTCAGGGTCTCACTACTAGATCGGACTTGTAGTGACCCACCTGTTTACAGCCTCCCAAGAGCTGGGGTTATAGGCACGCATGGTACACCCAGTCTCAATTGCCATCTCAGTGCACCCCAGGAGCAGGGCTGGCATGGCAGGCCCAGGGTCAAACCCCCGGCCCCTGATCCTGCTTGCAGGAGCTTTAATCTGCTGAGCTATTTGGCCAGCCCTGTTATCCCCATTTTAGTTATAAAGTGATTCCTTGGATTCTAAATTATGAAGACTACATAAAATCTTGTCCATCTTAATCCAACACTGATATTCTTGCCAGTTGTTTTTAATATCTCCCTGTGGGGGGTAATGAGGCCTATAGAATCCTTGCCATAGAGATTCTGACAATGTCTTGAAAAATGTTATAACACACCTGACTAAGAAAGTACTTTAAAGAGTGTGGTAAGAGCCAGGACAGATAAAAATATAACACTATGCCAGGAAAGAAAAGGTTGTTTAACACACAATTTATATCTCAGTTCATGACAGAAACTACACAACATCCATTCCAGAGGAAAAACCAATTTTTCTTTTGGAATTTTAGCTTGACATAAAAACAATTCCCAGCAGTTGAAGAATCACATTGCAAATGTAACAAATCCTTGGAATTCTCCCTGATGGCCCCTGTCCTTTAAACTTGCTTCCTTCTGCCTCTAAAGGGCCCCATACTGAGCCTAAACTTGTTGCATCTAGATTCCTCCTTCACACAACTGAATATTTGTTTTTTTTTTCTCTTTGTTGCTTTACTGTTTTTGTAACTCCAGCCCCATCATAATAAAATTTGTCTCCTTAGTGCCCCAGGCTCTAGAAACCATGCTTGAGTTTAGTGACTATAATTCTCTGTTGCAACATTACAGATTTGAAGAAGCATTAAGAAATATCTAATGCTGGCTGTACAATTGAATTAGATAATTATATCCTTATTTAAAAGTACACATGCTGCTGCTCTACTGTATACTTAATAAAGCAGAACCTCTGATGATGGGACTTTGTAATCTACATTTCTCTAATTCTCCTGCTGGTGATATGAGTATTTATTAGATTATCTGATCTAATCTTCAGAGCCTATATTTTGTCTGCAAGAAGTCTGAGGTTACACAAGTCATGGAGCTATTTGGTGAAACAGTCCACAATAAAACATGGGTATCCAACACCTCTTGCTACGTGGAAGCTCAGAGCAAATGTTCCTGTCTTCTAGTTTGGCTAATGGGGAGAATCTAAATAAGGGACAGAGGATAGCCCTAAAGGGAAGTTCTGAGGAGATACCTGAATGCAGTGGTAAGAAACATATATCCAATGTGCACCTACGGAACATGCTGAGCATGACGTCACTTGGTCAGAGTTGTGTTGAGGGAGAACAGTTAGTCTAATGGGCTTTTACATGTCAGTGATTTCATGCGATGTTCCCCAAAGTGCTATATTTCACTAATAATTCATACATGATGCCTAACTCAAAAGCACCAATTCAAAACAGCCACAAATAAGATAAGGGAGGTGAGAAAGATTTTCAGAGCACTTACTAGATAAACGAAACAGAAGACTTTTCTAATCACATAGTGCTGGGCCTGTCGTACGACTGTAGTCTCTTTACACTGTACTCTGAATAGTTGTACCAGGCCTGGAGTTCAGTTCCCATCACCTAGCTCTTTGCATTGCATGTCTCTTATGCCTCTTTCCATGTTATTCAGCCATTTTTAAATTTTATTTTATTTTATTTTTTTGGAACGGGGTATTGAACTCAGACCCTTGTGCTTGCCAGGGAAGCACTTATTCTACTGAGCCATCTCTCAGGCACTAAATGGCAGAAGGAGTTTTTTTTTTTTTTTTTTTAAGTTTATTTTATTTATTTAGTGTGTGTGTGTGGCCAGCTCAGCCCACCAGGGAGCAGGGCTGGCTGCATGTGGTGCTGGGGGATCGAACCGGGGTCCCTGTGCTTTGCTAAGCTTGTTCTAAGTAGGTGCTTTAGACCACTGAGCCATCTCACCAGCCCCATTTAGAAGTGGTTTTTTTTTTTGTTTTTTTTTTTTTTTTTGGCCCCAAATGCCTTCAGGGCATGATTGGCTGGCTTGAGTTGTGGGGATCGAGCCACAGCAACCTGAGCCTGACTGCTTTGTTTCAGCAGGCACTTAAACACCTGAGCTAATGAGCAGGTGCCCTCAGCCTGTCTTTTGAGTTTTTCTGTTACTGTGCCAACAAGCCACATAAAGGTCTAGACAAACAGCAAGAGCCACTGGACTACACCACTTATCACCTTCTTTCCAGCGCTAGGACATCCCTGTTACCATGATATGAAAAGTATAAGGAGCCAGGGAGATGGCTCAGTAGAATAAGCGCTTCCCTGGCAAGTGCAAGGGTCTCAGTTCAATCCTTGGTTCCACCAAAAAAAAAAAAAAAAAAAAAGTATAAGAACTGCTCCTCCATTCAGGTGCATGTCAAAATCCAGAATTGTGAATGAGTTAATACCCCAGGAAGGGGGAGAGGGTGGTTCCCCTCTTCTGATCTCTAGTGATCATTGCTTTGTATTATTTCAAAGGGCCTCAGAAGGACTTACCATAAATTTCCCACTAAGATTATCAGTAAGGTATTCTTCCTTTTGTGCTTCGTGATTTCTTGCTTCACTCACCCTCTTCTTAAGAACTCTTAACTAAGCTTAAAAATAAGCCCTTAAAAATAATCTGTACTCAAGTCTTTGTCTCCAGTAAGGGTTTTTGTGGAAGTCTCAGCTAAAACAGTGTTTGGAGGAAATGTGAACAAATGTTCCTTACTCTACCTTGGAGAAAACAGCTCCATCTAAAGCTGTTTTTGCTTAGAAAATTAAAGAGAAGTCACTAAGTTAATCCACTACCTGAAATTCCACATTACAGAGAGCTTTTGTGTCTTGAACATGCCCTGCCAAAATGCCAAACTATCAGGAGTAGGATCTCACTTCATTACTACCTAATAGAGATCAACCATTAAAAACTCTTAGTTAACCAAAAGTTCCCATGGCACTTTGTCCTTAGGTCTAATGAAGTTTGACATATATACAGATCCCTCCATAAACAACTAGAGATGATAACTAGGTGTATTGACATTCATACTCTTAAAATCAAATGTAATACTTGACTTTCAGCAGCTTTCAAAATATTCACTGGACTTTGGTTCTCATTGTCCCCATGAACAACACAGAAAGCAACGGTGATAATTCACAAGATTCTTGTGAGGATCATACTAAATCATGAAAACAGACGAAACTACCAAGAGGTTGGCACACAGAAAAGGCTTGTTAAGTTTACATAAGCAAATGCAAAATATGTGTAATTTGGACATGGAAGGAGAGAAGGGAAAATCTTGGCAAAAGGACAGAGGGGCTGATGGGAGTAAGAGGAAAGTAGACCAACCTCAAGGGAGCTTTAATACAATTGTTTTTTGGGGGGATTCCTAATACTTTAAGTAGAAGGCACATCTTTCCCATGCAACTGAATCCCAGATAGCTGCAAAATCTGTGAGTGTTTCACCATGTCCTTGTTTCCCGTTCTCCCATCCCCCTTATTGTACCACACCACAGAAACCAAGGTTGCGTGAAGTTTCCTTTACAGTCTACAATCTTCTTTTTTCTCTGCCCATTTCTAGTCTCAGTAAAAATTCCTCTTCTAGGGCCAGCCAAGTAGCTCAATGAATTAAGCATCTGCAAGCAGGCACAGGGGCCTGGGATTTGATCCCTGGGCCTGCGGGGCGCACTGAGTAGCAATTGAGACTGGGTGCGGTGGCGCGCGCTTGTAATCCCAGCTCTTGGGTGGCT